TGATTTTCACTGTGCGTTACTTCGGGCTTGCGTTTGTGCAGACACGTTACTCTAAAATAATAATTTGCATTATCCTTACGTGTAATTTCTTCCAGCTTCATTGTTATGGAGAAGGATGATTCGGAAGGTTCGTGCGAGGATGTTGTTGAATTGAGCGATTCGAATGATGATAGTCCAAAGCAGTCTAGTGTGTCGACTCCAACACCTACCAAAAGAGGTATTGCCTTGTTTTTTTGAACGTTATCATAGCTTCGCTAAGGAGAGCACACTTTTTTTGGTATGATATTTAATGAACTGGCAACACCTTGTAGGTTGAGTTACAAAGAATGGTTTTGAACAGATGCATTGATTTTTTATAAAATTCTTATTTTTGAGATTTTCAGCAAGAAAATATGAATTTCAGATTTCCGGTCTTGGAGTTCAACTTCAAATTTAAAACCTTCCTCTTCCAATATATACGCGGTTGCTTCTGCTAATAACAACACGGCAGGTCCGTGGGATACTACAGAAGACATACCAGCTGCTACGCTTAATAAGCTATTAGAGCAACTTACTCGTCAAAGGTTTGTTTTTTAGTAAGGTTATTGAGTCTTTTGCAGTGAGAGCTTCATTTGTTTTTAATGTACAATGGCTTGTTTATTTTGACGGTATTTTAGATGGGTAGTACCTGTTTTACCGAAGCAGGAACTGGAAATTTTAATGGAAATTAGCATTTCTTTGATTCGACAGGGTTTGTTTTTCCCATTCTTGAATTTCTTTTCATAGAGCTCATCTTATCAAATTGAAATCTTTTACTTTACGGGTAGCTTAATAACGTGCAGTAATCATTCGTCGACAGTAATTTTGAGGCTTGTAGGTATTGATGGGGAATCGAAGAACTTTCAGCAATTTCTTAATGGGGCTTTAGTTTTGGCTTTTGAGAAGTTGATGCAGGACGAGGCAATGCGAGACTGGAAATTGGATATACATGTTTGTTATACTGCTTTTAAGTATTTTCTTTTGTTGCAAATTTGTAGACAGGTTACATTTTGTGATTAACATTTTAATCCAGATTGGGTGACTACTCTTTTCGTCCTCCAATTTTTTGAAGCATTTCAAAGGGGACTCGTTTTATTTTGGTTTATGTAGGGCTTGCTTAGTTTTTCCTTAAAAATTTGTTAATTTTTAGTTTTCCTTCGAGAATGTTTACTTCTTTTATTCTCTTTTTTTTTCCTGCCAGTATTAAAAAATTCATTTATAGAGGAGATTCGATGCTTAATTGTCCATAATGAATTTTCATTTCTTAGGCAGCCAATTTTACGATTCGCTTTTGAAAAATGTATAGAGTGAACACTTAATGTTGTGCTTTTAGAGGTATATATGGTTGAGTATCGAAAGGTATTTTGAAATGTTTATTGAGAAGCTGCATCAAACTTTGGATGCTGCTCAAATTCCGAATTCGTTTTGGACAATTTTAAATTTAACGATGTCAAGGGAAAGCAGGTATTTCTATAATGCTTTTAATTATTTTGGTGTTTTTGATACTGAATATTTTAGTTTAGGTATCATATGCAGAATGCTTCGTACGACATTCAGTCTCTCAGTGTTGATTACGACGTTACTGATATGGGAGAGTTTGTTCGGAATGAAGACAATGGATTTGTAAGTGTCGATAGAACTAACTTGTGAAATAATAAGGAAACTAATACTTATATTACTTTAGTTGGGATAAATTTTTGCAGGGTTGGCTACGGTTACTTCTTTTTCGTTTTGGTGTTATGGAGGGGTTCAAGTTGGTAAAATTATTTTTCGAGAAAAATGTTGATGAAAAAGTTCCTGACACTGCAATCATAGAATGGCTTTCACCATTTGCGTCTTGTGCTTCTTTATTGAAGCCAGAAATTGTTGCGGAGACGTTTCATCACGTCCTCGTACGTTTTGCATTTCTTTTTTTTTTCAGTAGGAATTAGTGAATTTATATCACTACTTTTGAAAGGGGAAAATTATTTACGTTACTGTTTGCATAATTTGACCTTCTTTGGTTCTTTACATCTCATTATTTTTTTGCCACAGAACTTTCTTACGGTTAAGAAATTAGGTAATGTTAAGGCTTAGCTCTGAGGCGGGACAGTTTCTTGCGCAGTAAAAAGAAGGTTTTTTAAACTGAGTTTGGTAAACGGAATTTTGCAGGAGGTGTCTTTAAGGCGTTTGCGACTTATTGATATAAAGAGTCTTAAGTGCGAAACTGTAAAAGGAGACTTACGTGACTCGTTGTACATGGCACTTCCTCGTTTGCTTCATATGTTTTTTGTCGTTAATCCAGTGACAGCTACAGAAGCCAAAGAGTTGGCCTTCTTTGAATTAAAATATGTC